CAGGTAACAAACAGCGCGTTCAAAATAGGTAACAAATAGGTAAAAAAGTTTGCTGTTAAAACGACCGGCTCGTCTCGAACGCTGGGAAAAAAAAAAACCTGGGAGCGACTCACGTGAATCCCAGCTTTTCTTGGAGTGCCCTGAAGACGTCCCTGGCATATACCCGCCGAGAAGGTCCACCTTGAGCTGGTCGTTTCGCTCCGACACGTAGATGAAGGGCTCTTGCTGCGGGAGACAAGGGGTAAGCTTTCGGTCACGCACATGCACTGATATGTACGTGTGTATATACATACATACGTACACATAAACAACACAAAATACAGACATATATATATTAATAAAAATAAATATATATAAAATGTACATATATGTATATATGTATATGTACATACATACGCACCCACACACACGCACGCACACAGACATATATATATATATATATATATATATATATATATATATATATATATTATATATATGTCTGTTCTTTCTCAGATTGAATATTTGTCGTCTTCTCAGATGTAACGATATCTGCTGCCTGTCTCTCGGCCTTGCAGGCTGGTCGTCCGAGTACCCCCCCCCCCCCCGACCCAGAAGGTCCACACAGCTTGTACGAATGTCAGCTTCAAATGGCGATGAGCTTACCTACGCTATTCAGTTCTTGATTATTCTTTCCAAAAGAAAGAAAGAATGAATGCATAGAAAGTAAAGGAAAGAAAAAATCTTTGTTTCTTCTATCAATCTCCTCTTTTCATTCCTCCTTCAGGTTATTACATACACACACACACACACACACACACACACACACACACACATACATACATATATATATATTACATATATATATATATACATACACACACACGCATATGCACAGATATATGTATTTCTATATATATCTACCTATCTATCTATATCTATACACCCAACGCACACAGACAACAACACACAGACACACACACAGGTACCCACACACACACACATACACATATATGAACAAAGTTACAGTTGTTCAAAGTCTCTACTTCTGAACTCCATCAATATCTCTATAAACTTTCACTAAATCTTAAAAGCAGTTAACCCATAGTATTCACATTAAAGACCCAAGTTTCACATCCAACTTATTTTACGGTCAATTCAGTTACGATCGTCGTAAATACTGCAAAGCGATGAAGTCCGTTTAACCTAAAACATTCAGATATAAATAAATACTGTATAGTATTTATATTTATCTGTATATGCAGATATAAATAAATACTGTATTTATATATATAAATACTGCAAAGCGGTGATGTCCGTTTAACCTAAAACATTCAGATCTAAATGTCAATTATTTATAGACTTTTTTCATCGATAACGGAAGTGGAACGTTCGAGAATTCGGTTAAAAATGCAATAGATTGTTGATGCTGGAATTTTTTAAAAGTTTAGGCAATGGAATTTATTCATTTTTATGAACTCTCAATAGGATAAGAATAATCAATGGAAAATGTGTATGTTATCTGCCATCTTTTGTGTGTGACCAGTGTGTGTGTGAGTGTGTGTGTGTGTGTGTGTGTGTGTGTGTGTGTGTGTGTGTGTGTGTGTGTGTGTGTGTGTGTGTGTGTGTGTGTGTGTGTGTGTGTGTGTGTGTGTGTGTGTGTGTGTGTGTGTGTGTGTGTGTGTGTGTGTGTGTGTGTTGTGTGAGTGTGTGTGTGTGTGTGTGTGTGTGTGTGTGTGTGTGTGTGTGTGTGTGTGTGTGTGTGTGTGTGTGTGTGTGTGTGTGTGTGTGAGTGTGAGTGTGTGTGTGTGTGTGTGTATTTGTGTGTGTGTGTATTTGTGTGTGTGTATGTGTGTGTGTGTATGTTGTATGTATGTGTGCATATGTGATGTGTGACTTGTGTGTGTGCGTGTGTGTTTGATCAAACATTTTACGATTAAACTATTAGCTGTTCTTAATTACAACTGAAGAATTTTTCTATTACTGTTAAGAAAGAAAAACAAGCCAATAAAATTTAGATTAGTCTCCCTCAACATCACAACATTGTTTTATTATCCCAATAAACACTTTTGGCAAGAAGGTGCATTAAATATTCTTAACCCATGGATTAGCAAATGCAATTAGGCGGAGTTTGAACGCTCTTAATCGTGCAATATTGAACTATAAGATGGTAATTACATGAACAGTTTAGCCACACGAGCAATAAACCGCCCCTCAGGCTAAGTAAAAAAGAAAAGAAAGAGAGAAAGAAAGAAAGAAAGAAAGAAAGAAAGAAAGAAAGAAAAAAGAAAAGAAAGAAAGAAAGAAAGAAAGAAGAAAGAAAAAAAAACGTCGATCATTTGTGAAAAAAATATTAAGAAAAGCTCTCAAGAATCGGAAATCAATCAAGTGTATTGACACCCTCATTCATGTCGGTTCAGGACAAACAGACACACAAAAAAAAGAAAAAAAAAGACATAATATAAGCCAAGGTGATGGACCCTGCATGTGTTTGCAAACTATCCATCTTTGCAATGGCTTTTCTCGACCTCTTTTGCATAGCGAATGAGAAGCCAAATAAAGCGACACGGAAACACCATTCGCACCACGTGTTATAACTGACGCGTTATTAGGTTAAAGTGGCGTATCGATCAGCTGATGTTTGTTTATTCTCTGGTCTTCGTGGTGGTTTTCATAATTTCGTTTTTTATTTACTTTATTTATTTTCTTTTCATTTGTGAAGAAAAAGAAAGGTTTCTCCATTTTTTTTTGTATATTTTGATGTCTAAAACATTTTTTTTTTGAGGAATATTTATAAATATTTTTAAGGTAAAGGATTAACGAGTAACATAATTTTTTCAAATAAGAAAATCATAAAAAACTCTTAGATTAGAATTTGAAAATTATTAATTTAACAGCATTATTTCTTCCTCTGTTAGTTAGACAACGCAACCAGTGGTCTAAGAGAAATAATTTAATTATTATCATTAGTATTATTGTTACTACTACTATACATTATCATTGGTAGCAGTAGTATTGTTTATTATCATTATCATTATTACTATCATCATCATTATTATTACTACTTTTAATGCATTATTATCATTACTACTACTAACAACGCATACCAGTGGTCTAAGAAGAACTAAATTTTATTATTATCAGTAGTATTATTGTTTACTACTACTATCAGTATCATTAGTAGTAGTATTGTTATTATATCAAATCATTATTAATATCATCATTATTTCATTACTACATTATTATATCTTATCATTATTACTACTGCTCCTACTACTACTCTTATTATCAAATCATTGTTATTATTATCATTAATCATTTAACTATCATTATTATTATTACTACATTTATTATTCATTACTATTAACACTTATTGCTTACTTTACTAGTGTTATCTTATCATTGTTATTATCATTATCATTATTCATCATAATCATTATCATTAACAATTATTATTATTAACTCTTAGTACTACTGCTATAATACCATTATTATTAATCAATTGTTATTATTACATTAACAGATCATCATTAATTATCATTCCACATTTATATTAATCATCATTACTACTACTACTCTTATTATTATCATTGTCATCATTATCATATTAACTACTTTAATTATTATCATTCACCATTACTACTGGCTACTACTACATTATTATCATCCATTAATTGTTATTATTATTATCATTGTTGTTGAGAGCAATTGTCTGACATTCCTGAAGAGACTTTTTACTAAATAAATAATACCAAAAATCAATCGCTTTTGACCGTGGAATCCGAGGCCCTCGACACGTACCAGCAAAAAAGAAGAAGAAAGAGAAAGAAAGAAAAGAGAGAGAGAGAGAGAGAGAGAAGAGAGAGAGAGAGAGAGGAGAGAAGAGAGAGAGAGAGGGAGAGAGAGAGAGAGAGAGAGAGAGAGAGAGAGAGAGAGAGAGAGAGAGAGAGAGAGAGAGAGGGAGAGAGAGAGGGAGGGAGAGAGAGGGAGAGAGAGAGAGAGAGAGAGAGAAGAGAGAGGAGAGAGAGAGAGCGAGAGAGAGAGAGAGAGAGAGAGAAGAGAGAGAGAGAGAGAAAGAAAGAACGGAATTTGCCACAGCGAGATGGAAATTCACAAATGATGATAGGATATTGGCGAATTGTTGCGAATTTCATGACACATTAAATTTGCAAGATTCTCGGATGTTCAATGGAATATCGAAAGAATGTGTCCCTTACATCCGGACACATACAGCGTCTCATCGAAATATAAAAAGTGAGGAGGAAAGATTTTTTGAAAAATAAGTATGATACGGTTATGGTGACAAAATGGGGTGTTGTGCGTTTGTGTGGTGTATTCTGGCGTGTCTTCAAGTTTTAAATTTCATAAGCTTATACCTGCAAGTATCATTTTCATTATCATTATTATTATTGTTATCATGATAACAATAATCATCATCATTATCATTATTATCAATATCATTACTATTATCATTATTGGGTTATTGTTGTTATTACTATCATCCATGTTATAACAATTATTATTACTATATCGTGTTATAATGTTATTATTATCATTATAATAATAAATTGCTGTTGTTTTTATTAAATATTTTGTTTAAGAATTCTACCGATATCCCCATTGAGGATAATGTTTTATCTAATTTCGTCTTTAGATTTTGAAATAGCTGTAAGGAAAACCAAGTATGCAAGACTGAGATAAGATAGTGCTATAACCTTCGCTCTGTTTATCCAGCCATAGAGATAAAGACGCGATGTAAAAAAAAAAAAAAAAAAATGTCACAATTTTTTTTTTTTTTTTGTTTGTTTTCATATTCGTAAACAACATGTTGGCTGATATCGGGAGATAAAATGCACAAATACGAGTTATTGACGTAAATAAACTTATCCACTAGGTCGTGTCATCTCTAGGAATTATTTTGATATCATTGTCTTTTTAGAATAGTGTGTCATTTTGCTGTAGTTGTTGGGTACTTTGTGTGTGTGTGTGGTGTCGTGTGTGTGTGTGTGTGTGTGTGTGTGTGTGTGTGTGTGTGTGGGTGTGTGTGTGTGTTGTGTGTGTGGAGGGGGAGGGGGGGTTTGTGTGTTTTGGTGGGGTGGGTGTTTGTGTGTGGTGTGTGTGTGCGGCCTGTGTATGTGTCTATGTATCTCCATCTCAGAGTTTGCGTGTACCTACACATCAGCACTCCCCTACCATACCCCCTCCACAACCCACACCCACGACCACGACCCGACGACCCAAGGCCCCACACCTACGACCAGACCCAATACCATGACCCAAGACCCCACGACGATCAGACCCACCGCAAGACCCACGACCCCGACCAGCACCACGACCCCTCCCCAAGGACCCACCCAGACCAAGACCCACGACCAAGAACCACGACATAAGACTCAAGACCCAAGACCCAAGACCGCACGACCCAGACGAGACCCACGACCACGACCCACGACCACGACCCCTCCCCCGACCCCGACCAAGACCCAACGAAGATAAGACCACAAGACCCAAGACCCAAGACCCACCAGACCCACGATCCCCCGCCAAGACCCACGACCCACGACCAAGACCAAGACCCAGACCAGACCCACGACATAAGACCCAAGACCAAGACCAGCACGACCCAGACAAGACCAAGACCCACGACCCACGACCCACGACCCCCTCACCCACGACCCACGACCCAAGACCCACGTCCCTCCCCACACCACACGACCACCCAAGACCAAGACCCACGACCCATCGACCCACCCGACCACCTCGACCCAAGACCCCCCGACCCGACCCGAACCAGACCAACGACCCACGACCCAAAGGCCCCCGACCCGACGACCCACCCAAGACCACGACCACGACCCACAAGACCCAAACCCAAGACCCAAGACCCACGGACCCAATGACCCAAGACCCAAGACCCACGACCCACGACATAAGACCCAAGACCCACGACCCACGACCCACGACCCCCTCCCCACGACCACGACCAAGACCACGACCCCCTCCCCACACCCCGACCCACGACCCAAGACCCAAGACCACGACCCACGACCCCCTCCCACGACCAACGACCCCCTCCCCACGACCCAAGACCCACGACCCCTCCCCCCTCCCCCCTCCCCAAGACCCCACGACCCACGACCACACCCACCGGGCATAGTGACGCATCGGAGGTGGAGCCCCGTCAGATTGGTCCGCCTCTCGCTCCAGCCATCCAGGGGGAGCTTCAGGGGCCCCCTGCCGTACCACTCCGCCAGGACCCGGGAGATGTAAGGCAGGTCCTTGGCCAGGGAGTAGACTTCCATCACGACGACCTTCTCCATGATGGTGTTCGAGGCGTTCATGGTGTGTAGGCTCGCGAAGGTCATCTGGGTTGGGGGGAGACACGATGGTGAATGGAGACACGATGGTGAATGGGAGACACGATGGTGATGGGAGACACGATGGTGAACAGTGAAGACAGTCGGTTGGTTGGAACTGTGCGAGGCTCGACCGAATAAATATTCATTATCCGGACATGCATATAAACAGAAGTAGATGCATATCTATCGGTCTAGACAAACATATCTACCGAAAAGATATATAGATAAACGTATATCTACCATACAGATAGACAGATGTCCATATATTTATGTATAAACATCGAATTTTGTATATTCTTTGGGACGGGCTTAAAAAAAAAAAGAAAGAAGAAAGAAAGAAAGAAAGAAAGAAAGAAAGAAAGAAAGAAAAGAAAGAAAGAAAGAAAGAAAGAAAGAAAGAAAGAAAGAAAGAAAGAAAGAAAGAAAGAAAGAAAGAAAGAAAGAAAGAAAGAAAGAAAAAAAAAAAGAAAAAAAAAAATACTGGCCGATTTTACGGACATACATATACACAGAAATAAATTCACATCTACCAGTCTAGACACGCATATCTACCGTATAGACAAGAAAATAGACATAAATTCATCTGGTAGATAGGTAGATACGCATTTATTTATGTGTATACGGATACCTGTATATACGAATATTCATCGGGTCGGGTCTGGCACAATTTTAACAAACCAACCGAAAATGTTTAAAAATAATGGAAAATGTTTAAAAATAATGGGGGGGGTTAAGAAACATCAGTGATGAGTTTAAAGACTATGATGAAGTTAACTTGTTAGTGAACTGCAATGATAAACATCCATGTTACTGCATGTTACTATTATCAATAACACAAACTCTATATGAAAGATAATTTAGAAAGGAGACTATATATACATACACACACATACACACACATACACGCACACCACACGCACACACGCACACACACACACACACACACACACACACACACACACACAATATTATATATATATATATATATATATATATATATATTAATATAAAGGTAAAAAAGTTGATTTGATTAAATCTTGTCCTGCAATTTGTACTCACGAATATTTCCTACGATGGCGTTTTTATTGAAGTAAATCGCTGTGAATGACCAGAGATACATTAATTGGGGAATAAATAAAATTAACTTTTTTTTACATTTATCTTCACTTTTTACTTTTTTTTTACTTTTTACACTTTTTTTTTTTACTTTTTATCTATTTCTTATTTCTATTTATTTATTTATTATTTATTTATTTATCTTTATTGTTATTATTATTATTATTATATTATTATTATTATTATTATTTTATTTACTTTTATTTATTTATTTATTTACTACGAGTTTTGTTTCTTTGTTCCCCGACATTCATCTTCACTGACTTTGTTCCTGGATTTTTTTGAAGCACCCGCACGGTATAGCGCAGTTGCCCCTGTCGTTAATCAGAGCCATTCGGACATAATTTATTCATTCACAGATTCGAGATTTGACTTTCTGAATCACGCTGTAGTCAAAACAAAAGTACTATTAGTGAGTAACTGAAAGAACACGTTAACGAGATCTCTTTTCCTTGGTCTACGTATGTGGGTGGGCGTAATAGAGAGGTGCATGTAGTTGATAATAGTTAATAGGCATACAGGTACTTACTTGCCATATCTATATTTTCTCATAAACTTCTTTAGAAATCTCTAAACAAACACAATAAACACCTGGATTCCCAATTAGCCATGAACAGGTGTATATATCTATATCTATATCTTTGTTGATCTACGTATCTATGCATGTATCCACATAGTTAAACTTTAATTCTATCTGCCTGTTTCTAGACACTTAAAAAATTATCTACATGTTCTACGAGAATATAGATAGACTCATCAGGGTAAGAAAATAACTTGTTCTTTATGATTTAGGTAATATTTTCGGTGCATATTAGCGGCCGGTTTGTTAAAATTGTGCCAGGCCCGATCCAAATAATATTCGTATAAACAGACATCCATACACACAAATAAGTGCATATCTATCGATCTATCACATAAATATACATTTATTATTCTGTCTGTACGGTAGATATGCATGTCTAGACTGATAGATACGTATTTATTTCTGTGTCTTTGCATGTTCGTGTAATGAGTGTCTATTAGGTTAGGCCTGTTACAATTCTAACAAACCGGCCATAGGACTCGTGGTTATCTTGTCTGGGATGTTCCAGAATTAGCTAAATATAGTTTAGCAAGGCAATAGAGTCTGCGTTGGCCACGTACCCTGGATATAGATGGTTAACTCCCCTAAAAGACACTGTTTAGCACACTACACTGACTTTTGTAAGCGCGAAATGAGAGGGTTAGTCACCATCGACAATACACTCCACAAGTAAAGCACTGATCCGCATCAAATTGGACAAGAAATACACGATATCACAGAGCTTTTAATCTCTACCAACTAACCTAAAAGACCCAACGAAGACGTGGACATCGTGACACAGCCTGCCACTTTCACATCAAAATGGACAATAAAATGCACTGATCCGCATCAAATTGGACAAGAAATACACGATATCACAGAGCTTTTAATCTCTGCCAACTAACCTAAAAGACCCAACGAAGACGTGGACATCGTGACACAGGCTGCCACTTTCGCAACAACCATAACTGCCGAACAACTTGGAAGAAAATGTCACAGTTAACTTCGACAGACGGAGGTTAACAATAAATTACAGTAGGTTTTCCTAACCTTGCACGAAGTCTGTGTACACATGTGTGCGTATGTAGACACAAGCACATATTCTTATACTTACCGTTCACATTAACAGACTGAACTTCATTGAAATATGTTGGCAAGCCGCACTTTTAAGCCAAGTGGCCTCGGTTAAACATTAAAAACTGTTGGGCTGTTTTCTCGCCTCTGTTTTGGTGTAAATGGGACGTAGAGAGATTAAAATAGTATAATTGGTAGTCTAATATCTGTTCTCAAGCCTCAAAGTCACAGGAAGTAGACAGCTTTATATCCTATGCATTCCTTTTCCTACAGCAATGGCTCAAAGAAAAGTTAGAGTGATGAAAACAAGGAAATGCCTATCAATTTTAGATTAGGTGAATGAGTGAATGAGGGAACGATGAACATATGTTTCAGGGTCCCATGGCGAGAGAGAGAGAGAGAAAGAGTGAGAGAGAGTGAGAGAGAGAGAGAGAGAGAGAGAGAGAGAGAGAGAGAGAGAGAGAGAGAGAGAGAGAGAGAGAGAGATGAGAGAGAGAGAGAGAGAGAGAG